AATATGTAATTGGGCTTGCTCCGCCATTCTCGTGTTCCTTGTGTTCTAATTTAGGTAGGCTATGACATGTTCCGAAGGCAGTAGAAGACCTTCCGGAGAAGAAAAGTTGCTGTGCTTCCCGCCATGAGTGGATCCAGTCGATTCCGTCGCTTCATGCAAATGACGTCACTCCACTGGATGGTGCAGCCCAGGCGCCTACGGAAACTGGAATGCATGGATAACGAATGCCCATCGCCTCAACCTGGAGGAGCCGAAACGGGGGCATCAATTCCGCCAACAGGTGTCTCCGCCATCCGTTCCCTCGAAGCACCAGTGCCATGGGTACGCCCCTCAGCGCGACGAAGGTACCAGGGGATGCGAGGATCAATACTAGCAACGGCAGGCGGCACTTTTATTGCCCGTGGTGCACAACATCGTTGTTGAAGTGCAATCTTTCGCATATTTTGATGCAAGAGCTTGATGGAACGGAACTCAATATCACTGCGATCGGGTTCACTACACAGCGCATTGCCTTGTGCGCTTTCGGGCCCCTGCACTTGTGTTGTGATGCGCGGGAATGGAGACAAGGGGAGGGAATCTGCGCTTGCATGCTTGGACGCACGATTAGTTCCTCTGCTCTCAATTACCCATCTACGTTGAGACAGACGATGATCTTGAGGCAGGGCAGGGCAGTTGGGCTCGCTCTTGCCGTCACTGCGACCTCTTGTTGCCATCGAGCACCCAATGCAATACTTTTTACCAATGGTGCGCGGAAATGACAGAATCAACAACCTGCGCGCAAGGGATCTCCACACAACAATGCAACAAGCTCTGCATGGGCACAAGCCCTTTCAAATGCACGTGAATCGCGCGACTGCCTGTAAATGTGCTAATCACCCACAGCGCCTGAGCGGGCATCGCATTCTGGGACCTGTGTCAATTTCTGCAATCCAGGTACGACGAAGATGAGGAGGGGCGCCTCGCACCTCAAGCCAATCCGGAAATTGTCCACAGCGGAGTGGGCCACGACACCGTTGGGCCCTGCATGTACAGCCCCGCCTACGACATCAGGTTCCAGCACAAGAGCACGGATTTCGGGCGCAGCAGGAGCAGGCGGACGGAGCTCACACCCGCGACCGCGAAGACCATCCCGGGGCCTGGCGCCTACAACGTGTGGAAGGCACCTGAGGGCACGCTCAATAGCAACCCCACGATAGGTTCGCCACACGAGAAAGACGCAACGGGATGTGCTGACAGCTACGCCTCTGGATCCTCCAGTTTCGCGTCAAGAACGCTGAGATCCCATCAGAAGGTACCTCCCGTGCACGAGGGTAATTGCCCAAGTACAACGCGGCATTGGATAATTGCCCAAGCGTGACGTTACCACGCTCGGGCTGAATGGCGTGGATGCAGCATTGTGTGCTCACGGGGCCAAACCTCCGTTTCGCCCCGTGGGATCAGCGAGTTGTGAGCATGGGTGCTCAGCGCCTGTGGGCATATGGTAGCATGCGGCCAAACAGTTTTGGGGCATGCTCTTGAGAATTGATGCTCGCCTTGGAGGTTGCGGTCACGTTGGGAGGTCTTGGGGTACAGCGTCAACGTCTTGCTTCAGACCGAACGTCCAGTGCAATACACAACGGACTGTGTAGCTTCCGAGGTCGGGATATCAGAGACGGCGGAGGCGGCGACGACGAGGTTTGAGCACGCTGATTTGGGAGCGTGCCGCAATGCACCGACACAGGCGAGGCGTATTCTGGTTTCTAGGAGCCGTTCCTCACCAGGTTGATTTTATGCGCAGGCAATGAAGGCACTGACTCCCATCCCAGGACCTGGTGCGTACGAGTGTAAGGAGTCCGACAGCTGGGGCCGCTGCCGAACAGTACCTGAGAACTTGCAGTCGTTTGGGGCGACCTCAAACAGATCGTTCCAGGAAGAGCTCACGACGATGGCCAGCGCCCCAACAAAGTACAAGACACCAGGTCCCGGCACTTACGAAAAGAAAGTGGCCGTGAAGGCAGCGAGGAAGGGCAGGGGGACGCCCCCCCTAACCGGCTTCAATCAAACATCAATGCGCTTTAAACCGGCGACGACTATGGGCCCAGGACCTGGTGCGTCTAAGGATTTGTCCCAAGATCAAGAAAACATCATTTGGGCGGTGTCATCTTCGATGCCATTCGACACTTATCGATGCCATGACAGTCAATTTGATACCATCGCAATCGCTGAGGTGGCAACAATTGGTGTCAAAAGGCAACCGATGTAATTCGCGGTTGGCATTGCCACAATGGCATTCTCTCCTGGTTGTACATGCGCTGGTGCTGGTGTTCTGGCACCTTGCAGATGTGCTTCCGGGCAAACACGCTTTGAGAGCTACATGCATTTAGTAAATTAACTTGGGTCATCGCGCCAGCTTTGCGAGAGTTGTGAACAGTCCCGCGCATCGCCTGCTGGACGACTGGCAGCGATTTCGCGCATGTCGATATGTGCAACAGCAAATTCCAAGCAAAATTATGTGAGGTTGGAATCTTGGCGCGAGGGCACGCTACATTCTGAAACACGGCGCCCGGCACAATGGGATCGTGGCGACGCCAGTGGCATAGTCCATCACGTAATCGCAGTCTGACGAGCACACTGCTGTTTTCTCCACCACCTCTATGATTGAAATCTGGCCTTCATGCGCAGCAGACGGACTATAACCTCGCCATTTTGCCATTCTTGTTCATTCGCGCCCCATTCGGGTTCCATCTGGTGATGTTCCGGTGCCATGCTGGTGCTCCAGCGACACCAGTCCCTCACCTCGGTCGTCAGATTGCAGACATGCGTCCGTGCCGTGGACCAGGGAACTATGACCTCGACGAGCAAGTCAGCCTCGTCACCGACTTGAAGAGCCGCCCCGTCGCTCGGGGAGGCGCGTTCGGAACCACGAGCCAGAGGGGGGGCGACATGACGCCAAAGGGCGACGCGCCGGGACCCGGCAACTACGACCCGCACGCCGGCGCGGGGGGAGCCTGGCTTAGCGCACAGAAAAAGCCATCGCCCGTGTTCGCCTCAAAATCCACTCGATTTCTGCCGCCAAAGGCCCCGACGGCGCCAGACTATTCCGAAGTAGAGGGGTCCGACGAGATGCCGAAGGGTGACGGCTCGCTCCTGGGGCCAGGGCTGTACGACACATCAGATCAATGGCCGTCCGCCAGCGCCAGGAAATGGGGATTCGGGAAGGCAGCCGCGTTCATGTCCAACGGCGACCGGTTCGCCCACGTTGCCCAGACTCCTCAGGGCCCTGGTCCGGGGCACTACGGGACCGACCAATGGGCCTCGGCGGCGTCAACAAGGTTTCTGACGTGCCCCCCTTGCGGCTTCGCTTCGGGCGCGGACAGATTCAAGGAGAAGGCGACATTCACGCCAGGCCCTGGACACTACCGTGCCGAGCGAGCCGTCCCCATGCTGAAGTGGTCATTCAATGCCACCATCGACGGCTACGCGATGGCTTAGGCGAGTGATGCTACACCAGCCAGCATTCTGTTGCTCGCGCGGCACCGGCAATGGCGCTGGGCCGTCGTTGAAAAAATGAAAGGTGGCTGGAATGCTGAGCGATGGCGCTCCGCCGTCGTTGGCACGTGCTGCATGTGCTGGGAGCGAAAGCAACTTACGGTTGAGACCAGTGCAGCGATGCTGGCGGTGTGCCTTCGGCATCACCAAAGTCCAGGAAGAAACGGGATTCTCATTGCGATGCTGACATCTTGTCATCCATGCTCAGGCGACGACAGCGTAAACCGGACGACCATCATGCGCACAAATCATGCCTCACACTGGGCGGCAACGTTGACCAGGGCCGTGATCTCCGCAGTCTTTCGGCCAAAATGCGCAGCGCCCTCTAATATGATACCCTTCTAAATTGTGCGCTACCATTTGAGCGGCATGTCGCTGGGCATTTTCCAGGAGGAACATCGTTTTGCCGCTTCAGTTGCTTGCCGTTCTGGGAATCAGCCAAGCACACCTGCTGTGCAGAACTGGCTATGGACACTGCGGTGCACAATGCATCAGATTTCAAGCTGAAACGACCTCCTGAATTAGCACTAAATGCAGTGACGACGCCCGCTGTTCGATGGCATTGATACATTGGGCTGCAGATTCCGAGATGGTTACAATGACGTCGTTAACAATGATGATAATAATACATCACCAGACGGCAGTCATCCTAAGTTCAATGGCGACTATCCTTTGGGAGCGAGCCCAAGAAGCTTACAATGCGAATGGCGTCTTGTCGTCACATTGCCATTGATCCATCCGCAACAGGAGTGGGACATGCAAAATTTGGCAGGCGTCTCTGCTTGAGAACAGGTGACAACAAAGAAACCACGATATCGATTCGTGCAGGTGCCAGCGCACTGCTGCAGGGTTTGCCGTCGTGCAGCAGTCACATGGAATGTAGACAGTGACGTCCTCCACAGCAATTCTCTTCAGCACCTCACCTGTCAAAGGGAACAGCAAAATCTGCGTCAGGTCATTGGGACTTCCTGCACTGCACAAGTGCCACCTGTGCTGAGCGCACATGCACTGACCAACGAAACCACGCCTGACGATCACCAACACTTTCAGCGCACTATCAGCACATTTTTAAAGAGAACCTGCAAAGTAAGCCTTACACATGCAACACCTGAAGTTCACGCAGGAGCTGTCATGCCAACGCCATACCTCAACGATTTTTTGCTGCAACATCTGCAGCTTTTCATTGCAATTCACATGTGCTTTTTACCCCAGTGAATGGCCTTATCCACAATTCCATTCGCTGGCAAGCTGATCGAATACGTGCCCTGGTGAAGGCATTCGTTGGGAAGAACAAATTCTGAGAGCTCTACGAACGCACACAGCGGCTCTGCACTCCAATCGTTGACGTTTAAAACTCCAATACAGGGCTACTCACTGGGTAGCCAATTGCAGACAAAAGAATCATGTCCTATCCCGCTGGGTACCTCTGCATGGTGTTGTGGTCACCGTCAGGGGGATTTCTCTCCCACTGCTCAGCTGCACCGACCCTCTTTCACGTTTTCTGCACTGATGTATCCCCCAAAGGGTGGATTTCCGCCTGACGAAATCAGCCCTTCATCAGCAATGAAGTCGCACAGTTCAGCCTTCTCCTCCCTCTGCAGCATGACAAATGGAGTATCATGTGAAGTACTACACACACATGTAGCAAACACAGCTCTCCAACCATTCAGCACAGTCATTGTGCCAAGCACAGACTTCGGAGGCCAATCACCTCCTGCTGCAATATGTTGTAGAAATGTGCTGCCCGCCTTTCGTGCTCCTGGGCCTCATTCTTAGCCCTGTACCGAGAACAAAGTTGTCAGGGATTTCTGAGGAATACGAGCTTTCTGTGTCGACAAGGCAAAATGTCAGTTGGCCAAACGTCTGCCACAAATAACAACGCTCTCCTGCCTTCAGTTATTGCCGATGATGGTTCAATGCAATTGCTCATACTTCGGCGTGTAAAGGACACTTGACAGGAAATAGCACACAACCTTCAATGTTGATAGCAAGGGAGTCCCCAGGGCCCCTTGTACTACTCTTGTGAAACAAATGGACGCTGAGTGCATATTTTTGGTGGTTAATTGGCAGCACACGAGCACGAGGCACACAGGGAAACATTAGGACTTTCAGCCCAGGTGGATCTAGGCAGCAAGGCTGGGTTTGCCACTGCTGTGCCCTGGGCAGCAATGCTCAAATTCAGTCATGTGATGGTGAGTTGATCATGGATATGTAATTTCTGTGAAATTACCCACTGCGTTCTGACACTGCGATTGCCCAAACATGAATTGCCACAAAATCGCGGCAAGCTCATTGGTTTGTCGTCATGCATCGGTAGATCAAGCTAAATACAGACTCAAGTCACCATCGTCAACTGTACCCGCAAAATCTTGTGAAAGAGCAGCACACAGTTTGTTTGCCATTTATCTGGGGAGTCGCACGTGAACATGGCAAAGGATAGTGGACGTGCCCTGCTTGTTATGCTAGGGTTGCTTCTGTTCCAGTACACAGGAATTAGGAGCTGGCAGTCAGCACTCAACTCTTCAACAACAGCCTCAAGCCTCTCGTTGCTGCTCTTGCATCGATCTGGTGTCCTTTCCCTCTGCTGTTGCAACAGCTCCAGCTCGAACTGCAGGTTGGCACAGATGACCTGCAAATGCAACCCAGTGACCAACTGGACGCAAGCTCGCCTTTGCAGGGAGATTGATGCAGGCAACGGCTTGTGTGTGGGGCAGATACAGATGCAGCATTGAGTTACAAATTGATGGTGTTGTCACACCGGCATTGGATTTGACTCTTGCGGTGCGTGTTGTTGGGGTGCTTGTCAAAGTACCATAACTCCCACCTTACATTCCTCAAGTGCGTGTAAGGCCTCCTTCTTGCAATTCATCGCTGCTTGGGCATCTGCCATCGCCTGCAAGCTCCACAATTTCAAATGAGCCAAACATTAACAGCTTCAAAGTCTTATTCATTTGTGATGTGGGCAGCATCAGCCAATGATGCTAATGGACCAAGCACATAATCGAGTGTAATAATGTTGAGAGTTTGTGCCCATTATTTCTTTCTCCTTGCCAAGTGCAGTTTTGACTATGGTGCACAGCTCACTGTGAGAATAACAACAAGCACCCCACAACCCAACTGCATATATGCTGGTGCCAGATGCCATGATAAGACAGTTCTTAGGACTGCAGCACAGCCCTAAAAATATACCATCCAAGGGCATTCCAATCTTGCGGTGGACAACGTCATGGCACCCTTTCAAGCCCACGGTCCTTGTACTGGACAAAGGGCCACTCAATAGTTTTCCGCTCATCAATTTTCCCAGCGATACCTATTCAAATCTTTTTGTCGTTCGCATTCCTTGGCGAATGTTGAACATATAGAACTACACATCATACCAAGTGTCATGCGCCTCAGACAATGAAGGCTATTCTGCAGGCTCACTTGCAGTGTCTCCAACCCAAGGGCAGCGTTTTCTGCGATTTTCGCATCCCTCGCTTCCTTGTACTGGTCTCTTTGTTGTTCAGCCTCCAATTTAGCCACCCGTAATGCAGCAACCTCTGCTTCCAGCTGGCTTTTCTCTGCTCTGATGCACCAGACACGAGTTCGCTGCTTGCCAACGGATTCTCCGAATAACTCGAAACGGGCCTAAGGCACCACCCACTTGCCAGCATATTCACCAACAAGACCACACAGATCCAATTCTAGGGTAGTCTGGAAAACGGAAGCTGCACAGAGGGTATATGGGACAGGAGCTACCAGATTCACCACGCTGTCGAAATTGATACATAGGACAGATGCAAGAAGGCGCTGAGCTCGAATGTGCGCAAGACATATGCAGCACACAAGCAATCACAAGCGCCGTACATGGCGACCATACGTAGCGGGCGCCCCCCTCCACAATCCCCCCCCCTTCCCCCTTCTCCGCCTCCCTTCCCCTGAGGAGGCACAGATGACCCTAGCGTTGGAGTAAAGTCAGAAGCTCTGCTGGATCAGGGAGCGGTCAGGGCCTGGTCACCACCTCATCGTCTCCATTGACTCCGAATGTTCAGGCATCTCCCAAAAGGCTACGTCGTTCACTTTAGAAGCTCCCGCAGCCTTCAGCGACGCAAGACAGCGCAAGCAATTCTTGCGGTGGCTGTGCTGTTGCGTGTGCAGTGTTTCGTGCGCGACCACGGGCCTTGGTTGCTTTGCTTTGCCTTGCAGCCAAAGGCTCGTCAGGGCATTTGGCGGGAATCTCCGCACGCGGATTACACACGTAGCTGGCAATGCAAGAACGCGAGTTCATCCGTGGATTCGCCGCTGACGCTCCATTGCTCGCGTACAAAAACCCATATCTATTGTTCCCAACATGGAAGCATCATGAGGTAAGATCCGTTAAACTTCAAAGAGAAACTGGTCGCAGAAAGGGCACCCCCGCCTGAGCAACCGACAGTGTGTGTGAGACTCTTTTCCATGCTCTTGAAGGTGATGCTGAGGCTCCCGTGCAAGAAGAGAAGCGCACAACACAGCACCATGTAGAGCAAGGGGGGGAGGTGGTGAAGGGAAGGGCGTGGCATGAGGTGAAATTGACATTGCGGCCGAAGTCTGATTGAGCAAATGATGTTGCAACTGCTGAGCAGATACGGATAAGGGTGTTGGCTACAGTGTGGAAAGTAGCAGGCCAGGAGTCGTTGCATAACACATCTTCTCAGATACTGTGGATGGGTGATCTTCTTGCTGGTGCTGCTGTTGTTAACTTTCTTGTCTTGGTGTGTAATATTTCTTCATGATGATGTCAGTTCAGTTGCAGGGATTAACCTCACTAGAAAGCTGTCACGCCTCTGTCCCACGTATTTATTCTGGCTGGAGAGCGTGTGCAATTGTTGATTCCCATTACGGGCGGGCACGCACAGGGGATGTGCCAACCCGCTGGCGCGTGCCTATCCCACAACCACCAACGCGAATTTCGATGATTCTGGAATGTGGATTTGTCCGTAGCTAATTTGAAACTGCTCCCCATGCAAACCCCGCAGCCACTTCAAATGCGAGTTCAGGCCAGAGCCGATTCAAAGAACCAACGAAGCTCCGTACTCCAGCCAAGGGACTACGGCAAAATTGCTTGTCTTGGAGCCTAATGACAGTTGAGCGCCCCTTGCGTCAATGAACATTTAACGAATGGACGTGTCAAAATCAGGAGGTTCCAAGTCTGTGCATACCACCCTCATGATACTATGCTTTCAGTGCATCCAGTAGTTCAGTAGACCAACTGACAGGAGGCAATTTATAAATCCGAAGTGCTTTGTGTCCAACATACCAACAAAGAGTCCCCAGGCGTCACAATGAGCCCAGGTAGGTGGTGTTGACACCCCATTTTCATCATAAATATAACATTCACACACGTACACTCAGTATCCAATACACAAACAAAAACTAAAGAATTGGGAGATGCACGGGCTGTCCCCACAAGCCATGTTTCAGCTTCATGTGCAGCGCACTTAGCAAAAAGACGAGTCCAGCCACAAGGGCAAGAATGCAAGAATCTTGGCTTCAAACTTGCCCCAGCCATGCACTGGAAGGTTGGTGGAATTCACCTGTGCCACTGGCACACAAACAACTTCGCCCTGGGGATACTATCCATATGTACATAATTCGTTTATTGGCACATTCCCTGCGATCTCTACAGCCTTGCCCAATCCACACATGCTACAATTTGCACCAGGTTGCTTCAAGGCTTCAAGCCAAGGGCAACTTCCTTGGGAGCTCGCTGACATGAGCTCCCTGACCACCATGGCGCTCACAAGACTCACAGAGGACTAGGTTCTTCTCCAGAAGAGAATATGAGTTTCACCGCCACGGTAAGCCGCAGAGTCCCCGTACAGGTAAAGTACTGATCCAGCTTGTCGATAGAGATGAACTCTCGAGCACCCCAGGACTTCATGTTCACCTCGAAACTGCAAGCTCTCCTCTCACATCGGCGCCTCTTGCAGATGAATCGAACACATGCGCTGCACCTTCCGCTGGAGTCCTTGCAGGCCAGCTCCCTTGTCAACTCCCTACAACAAACGAATACTCCAATAGCCTTGGTCCCACGGCTCACCGACACCTCCCAGCCACGGCCACCATGGCAATAGACTGGTGACATCCATTCTTCGCCACTGGCAGCGTCCAGCTCATGAAATGGAACTTCCACTCCAATTCTGAACCACCCAACGTCTCTGCACATATCCAGGTCTTTGGATGCAAAGTTCGGAGCAGTTTCACCCAAGCAAGGGTAACTCTGAAGTGTTTGCGCCTTCAACATGCCAGCAGTGAGAGCCGTGATGACGGCTGGCATTTTCATGCCATTGATTCGAGCGAATGCCAAATGCATTTCCTCAAGAGAGAAGCTGCTATAGTTTATGTGACCACAAAGGCATTCATTGAAGGCGCTCTCCACCATCTCCTTGCTGTCCTTCTTGGTTCCCGATTGTATGGTGCGATTGCTTGCCTGTCCCATAATCACATCACTGCCAACTTCCCCTGTTGGTGGCAACAAGTCAGAGATGGGGAGGCTGGCCACGCCCGTCTCGACACCTTCACACTGGGCCATAAAACTGTGGGCTTCGAGTTTCGATTCAAACACATCCATGACAATCTTGAACTTTTCATATTCTGACTGCACCCAAAAAAACTCCGATTGGAAAAGCATGCACAGATGGTCAAGAGTCAGTGCATGCAACTCATCCCGTAGATCCACAGCATGAATCAGCAAAAAATCTGAACATGCATCTGTCAATTTCGTCCCACCAGTGTAGCAGTACAGCGAAGAGAACAGCGCCATGCTGATGACATTCGCCAAGGACAGGTCTTCAATGCAGAAGTCGATGCACTTTGCACACAGTTCCCCCATCTGTAGGAAAGAAGCTGCTGCAAGAACAGCCTTCACGTTGTTGCCAGTCAAGCGCAGTGGATGGCCGTACACTGATGCAACAACGTCCTCAAATGCCTGGGACGTAACAAGGGGATCGTCCACAGAAATTTCCACCGAACAGTTCCCAGAGTCCTTCCACTCGCCCTCAAGCAAGGGCTTGAAATACGGTATGCCCCATAAGACAGCTTTGTGGAGGCAGAGCTCCTTTCCAAGCACTTGGACAGTAACGTCAGAGAAGCGGCGATTCATGTGGATGTCAGCCAGGCCATCAAGGGTGATCTTCTTTTCATACAGGATATGCTCCCGTTCGACAGTGATCTGCCTCGCCATCGAGCTCATCATGTACTTCAGCAGTGGTCGATAACTGCGAATGTTGAACAGAAGATTTCATTGACAGCAACCTGCACTTCTATGGCACATTGATCGAGTTCTGGGCTTCAACTGTTTTCAAGGGGTCCTTAAATCATGACAGCATAATTTACAGGTGCATGAATCGACACAAAATGTGGCAGTCATATACGCCACAGCAAGAAATATCATAGTTACATCATAGTTAATATCATTGTTGCAACGGAACACTGCAAGAATATTTTTTGGACTAGGAAAAAATAGCACAACCGGCCACCCTTTCCTGTAACCCTGTACACAGTGTTATCAATTGCATAGCTGTGCGCCACATGTCAGTACAACAAAAGCACAGTTTTCTCAGTTAAATCCAAAAAGAAATAGCTCTCCTGCAGTGCCTTTTCACACATTTGTCTGTCAGTCACTTGTTCGCCCAGGGCAGGCCACAAGCAGGGTTGAGCGAAGGATGGTTGTGTTGCTACTGATACTGTGTCAGCATGTGCACCCTATTGTTGTTGGTCTGCAGAATGCTGGAGTGCCAACTGCCCATGCCCGCTGGAGTAACACACACAGTAAGCTCTGCCAAAGCCTTCCCAGCGTTGCAGACACAACAGACACACGCCCAGGTGCTAAATTCTGATTTGTGCTTGTGTGAGGTGCATGCAGCTGTCCTGCAGTGCCTTCATGTGGATGCCCAGATGACCACAAAGCCATACCGGGGCAACAGGATTGACAGGCGCCCGCCTTTGAACTTATGCAAGCAAAATCATACATTTCTCGCACATGTTTCGTCAGCTGCACATGATGCTGCAAGAACAGGGCTGAAATTGGGCAGGGATTCTTGTGGGGTTACAGTTACAATGCGCCACAGTGGCACGTTATCAGCAGTGTTGAATTCTATATCCATTATTTCCATTGACGGGTACGCAGCTGCACAACGGTCTGCACAGTGGTCACATCAGGCGACTGAAATGCACCAACGTTCGTCCGAGGCACTTCTGCAGGTGATGAGGTTACTAAGCTGGAAGGGAGGCAATCCCAACAGTTCCCCAATACTCTTCCAGAATATTTTCCCCCAAATCCCTTCCAAAATTCTCTTCCAAATTATGAAGGGCGACGCAGCGACTTGTTCCTGAAACACAATCGGCCTTCGAGCGCTGGCGCAGCTCCTCCGCTGCGACCTGCGCCTGAAGGCTTGCGAGTTGGCCGGCAGACTGTAACGCCTCCCCTAACGAAGAGGGCAACACCGCCACCTGGCAGTTGTAAATCTCCAATGCATCGCTATGTTCGCAGCACACCTGCCGTTGAGCACATGCTTAGTGCTTGGCGCTACTGGAATCCGTGCTGCGCGCTGTAACCGCTGCAGGTCTACGTTTCCACATCATCTCGGTATGGAAAGGCGCTGCAGGCAATAATCTCGCTCGAGGAGAATCTTGCCCGTCGCGCGGCATGTGTACTTTTCTGCCAAGATACTGCTTTCGGCAATTGAACTGGCGCGCTGCCACGACCGCCGAATGAGCGCACTCAAACGCTGCACTGCGGCCGTCCCTTGCGGCCATTCTAGGACATGATACGACGCGAGGGATTGGAGCCGCGAGTGTGGAGTTGGGGGCTCACTCACAACAGCCGAGAAATCTCCGGAGGCAGCGAAGGGCGCCAGGCTCAGCGCCAGGGGACACCCTTGGGCAGGAGAGGAGTGATGCCACTCCAAGGGTCTCGAGCCGACCTTGCCTGTTTGCAGGCTGCAGCGCTCGGGTTCGTTGGCGCCAGGGCTGGCGTGTTGCGTTCAAAAGGCGCCGATGTCCGCCTGTCGCCAACCACGTGTGACAAAGGGTTCAAAAGTACGTCGTTCCAAAGTACAGGCTCAGACCCGCCTTGGGTCGCGACAATGAACTTGGCCCCCGGCACTTTCCCGGGCTGATGCCGGCTTGGATGGCTGATGGGATCTGCGATTGGTCAATCACACAACAAACCCATGGGCTAGTGGCCTGGCAGATGTGCGAATTGGGGACGGGCCCCGCCTTGCAGCGTTTTGTGGGCCATGTCGGTCCTCCTTCACACCGCGGAGGCAAACGCGCCTCGAGCAGTCCAACGAACCCCTGCTGGCTCCAGCCCGCTGGCTCCCTTGAAGAGTGTGACAACTTTCAGTAATAGCATTGTCGCTAATGATATGGTGCTGTCAATAGTGTGGTGTTTATGATTCGCAACTTGTACTTGGTGATGTTGGTACCTATGCACTGCATCTTGCATTATTTCAAGCCCATTTCGGGGGCATTTCACGATCAATGTGCCAAAATTTTTCTTTGTCTACTCCTTGGATCAGGGTCCTAACATGCGTTAGTATCCATGACACACTATAAGTATCCACTGCTCATTTTGAGGGTCCAATACATGCCTACTAATACGGGGTAAACACGGTACTCGAGACACTTGAGTATGGACCTGAGTCAAGTCTTGCGCTTCAAACCTGTGTTGAGTGGCCAGGGCTTTTTCATCGCCAAAACTGGCAGATGGATCAATGACAATACGATTTTCTGTCTAACGGAAGATATCAGCAGCAACTGATATCATCGGTATCGTTGTTTCAATCATCAAGGCTGTGCGGATGTCCACTTCAAATTGCAAACTGACTGGTATGTTGTGTCAAGTCACCAAGTCAATTACCGTATGTCAGACATGTGTCCCCCAACTAGTTCAACGGCAGCGAGACGGTGAATTTAACGCCTCCATCAGTAACTCCAAGCAACATCACGTGGCGTGTGCTCAGCATGGTCGAGCTGCCGATGTCCGTAGAATATTTCAACAGGTAGCAAATTTCTTGCCTTTAGGGAAGACGCCACGGTGACTATTCACAGGTAATGCTGACTTGGCGTCAAGCTCAGACCCCCTTGGCGTCTTTCCTTGCAGCTATGCCACATCGTAATCCGTGTTTCGCTTGGTGATAGATGGGATCCCCGGCTGAGCGCCTTATTGCCCATGGGTCTCCAGGTGGCTGGGATAAAGGACCACCCCTGTCGATATCCATGGACAAGAACAACGCAGCGAGGGCGACAAACAGCTCAACATACAAGGCACAATGCTGGATAAAACAGTTACGTCGGCTCTCTTCGAGAATGGTTTTGTCATTGTCCACACATACATCATCATACCGAGAAATTATGTTCTTTCAATTACATAAATCAAAACTTGACAGTGCGTTGCCCATCAACCTGCACGCACAAGGCGATGTGCTGCAAAGCGGGCCAGGTCATTCCTGCTTATATTGTTCATCACGCTTCCCCCCCAATCCAACCACCCAAAGCGACAGTGCACGGAAACTAGGCTCAAGTTCCCCAGCAGGATACACACACCACAAAGCCAAGCCAGCCCAATCCCCATCCGGAGTTTCTCAACTCAACGCAACTCGCCTCAAAGTACAAAGAATTGCGCCCATGTGTACACGACCCTGTAGTTGCCTCAGTCAGCAGCCATTTTTATTTCCCTCTCCCGAACTCGTTTTATCTCCATCTTCCCCCCACCCGTCCCCGCACAAAACACTCGGTCGCCCGCCGCTAGTCGTACCAATACACACACACGCGCGCACCCACGTCACCATGGATGAGGGATCGTTTCTACCGCCCGTTTTATTAGGCCCGCGCCCCTCCCCCCCTCAGCCGTCTTGGGCGTAGCCGGCGCCCGAGGGGCTGGAGCCGAAGGCCAGCCTCACCAGCACGCCGAAGCGCAGGGAGTCCTTCGCGGTCAGGTACATGTCCAGCTCGTCCTCCACCAGGAACTGCCAGAAGCCCCAGTCCGCGCAGTAGTCCCAGTTGCGGAACTTGCGGCGCTTGTCCGGGTGGCGCCGCCCGGCGCACAGGAACTCCACCTCCACCGCCAGCTGGCTGCGCCGGTCGCTGTACAGCCGCCGCTCCGTGTCCGCGCTCTCGCGGTACAGGAACACGCCGTAGGGGTGGCCCGTGTAGTTCTTGCGCTGCCGGCGCTGCACCACCAGCCACCACTCCGACCCCCCGAAGAACACCCGCCCGGAGGCCCAGTAGCCGTCGGGGCGCAGCCCCTTGGCGTCAGCCAGCTCCACTCCGAACCGGAACGTGCCCAGGTCCTTGTCGAAGGGCTGCGGGGGGTCCTCGCCCTGCGCGGGCGCCCGCACGGCCGCCGCCGCCCCCTGGCTCTGGATCGTGGCCTGCAGCGCCTCGGCCTTGAACCGCCCGACCAGCAGCGCCTCCATGGCGCCGCACATCTTGAGCTCGGCGCAGCGCGCGCACGCCGCGCGGCCGTCCTCCAGGCTGAGGTACTCGAAGTGGAGCGAGGTGGCCAGGATGGACTCCAGGGCACGGCGCACGGAGTCCTCGGACTCCCTCGGGAAGTCGTCGTACCCCGCGGACAGGATCTGGGCGTGGGGGAGGGAGGCCCAGCGCCAGGCGCCGTCGGGGCCCCACTGGTCGCCGCCGGCGACGCCAGGCGCGGCCTTCGCGCGGCTCTTCTTGCCGGCGGCCTCCAGCTTGGGGGCGAAGGCATCCATGATGAGCGTGAAGCGGTCGTACTCGGAGGGCACCCACAGGCTGTCCGAAGCGAAGAGGTCGCGCAAGCTGGCGACGGTGAGCTTGGACAGCTGGTCGCGCAGGTCGGTGGCGTGCACCAGGAGGAAGCGCTTGCAGGCCTCCGCCAGGCGCTTGCGCGCCATGTACTCGTAGGCGTCGGCGATGAGCGTGAAGGACACGACGTTGTCCACGGACAGGTGGTCGGAGATGAAGTCCACGCACTTGACGCAGAGCTCCTCCATCTGGAGGAAGGAGCCCGCGGCGTGGATGCTGAGGACGTTCTGGAGGGTGAGGGCCATGGGCAGGTGGTAGACGGTGCGCACGACGGCCTGGAAGGCCTCCGCGGTCACCAGGGGGTCCGCGGCGTCCAGCCTGAGCAGGTCCTGGTCTGAGTCCTTCCAGTTGCCCTGGAACAGGGACCTGGGAAGGGCCAAGCATGCACAGGAAAATGGAGTCGCGAGGGAAGTGGCAAGGGACAGCGGCACCCCACCCCAACAACCACCACTACCACGAGCGAGAAATCTGGACCCGTTGTGCACCATAACAGGCTACGAGGCGACAGTACAAGCCAGGCACTGTGAACAACTGTTGTGGCACCAAGGACAACTAGGAGCTGTGGGATGATTTCATCTCCAGCGGCCAGAGGGACGCATCCGTTGCTTTGTCATTGCTGTGGTGGTGAGCGTGTTGGCTCACAAAGCAGAGGATAAACAGAAGACAAGCTCCTCAGGCTGCGAGGATTGAAATCATCACAAATGTTGTTCGAGACACATTCCACAAATCCATCCTTTGTGGCAGTCGCCTTCAATTGAAGGAGACACAAAACACAGGCACACCTGAAATATGGAATCTGCCACAGGACCACTCGATGCAGGCGGAATTTTGTGTTCTTGACATCGACGGTGATGTCTGAGAAACGGCCCTCAACGAATGCATCTCGTAGTGCATTGGCCGTGGTGCTTATTGCTCCACTTATCGTTGTCGCCGCTCCATCCATTGTAGCTATGCGATCACAGGCAATGCACTTGAGCACCAACTCCCGCCAACTGGAAACTGCTGCCTCTGGTGAAGTAACTATGAACTAGCGATGCAACTTCGTTCTTCAGTTGGCACTGGGCACAGGCCTAACTACGCCCAAGGTGTGCCTGCCAGCCTTTGTTCTTTGTCCTGCTGACACAAACATGGACAGCAGTCAAGGGGCTGCCATTCACTTCCAACTGCACACCTTGACACACGAATACGAACAAACGATTCCAGACAAAAGTTATATGCGGACTTACGTGCATCACCACTTGTCCAGCAGGGGCTGTGCTATGTCTCACTGTGACAACTGCGATCACAGTAGTATTCGAGAGCAGCCAACTTCCGTTGTGCAAGACAGAAACACTTGAAGGTATGAGGAAAACAGTCTGGCTAAAAGCTGTTGGCCAGGCAACAGAAGAAGACAAATACACCTTCTGCATACAAGGACAAGACCAACAACCAATACCAGCACTCTGTGGATTGTGTCTTGACCACAGTCCTTACAGTGAGTAGGATTCCCACAATCTGTTTTCAGGGCAAGAACAAAGCACAATTATATGGTGCATCGCATCCTGCACGTAAAAGCATGGAATGTTCCCTGTCTGGGTCCTCCATAGTCAATCACCAGTCAGATTTGCCCATTTTCACAATGATAGCTACTGGCAAAAGTGGCCGGGACAGAGCGATGAACAAATTCACGGCAGGGTTGTACTCAAGGTATGACAGAGCGTAGAGGCACTTTCTATTCCATAGTCGTTCACAAGCCTATTGCCACAGAAAAGACGTCTTCTTCTCCTCATACTCAAGCAGGGATGCAGACAACGCCCACTTTGAAAGGCCCACGAGGCCTGAGCCGTACCTACAGCGCTGTGCACTCAGTCACCCTATTTCGCTCGTGCAACTCGATTCGTAGACCGGAAGCGCAACCCCATTCGTTGATAGGCAGTGGACAGAAGAGCAGCCATGTTCCCACACAAGCCGCGTTTCGCCGCTGCGCGGTTTGATGCACTCAGTGCTGGGCCCAGGAATCTAACGCTCTCTGTCAAAAGGGACAATCAACCGCAGACAGGACACTGAGCTGCAGTGGCCTTTGGCTGCAGGCCAGTGTAGGGCAAAATCGGTGGCTGTGGTGCCACCGTATCCGCGTTGCGGATTGCGTGCAGCGAAGCCAATCTTCAAGGCACCAGTTTGGAGCCGATCGCAAGTAGAACGCCGTCAAGCCCGCGAGGGCGACACGCCGCACTGGAACCCGATCCTCGCCGGCAGGAAGCCAACAGGGTGGGGACACGACAGCGCCGGATTCGCAGCGTAGGCAGCCCCAATTGGCGCGTCGCCGTTGGGGCCAGGCGTAAACAAGCAGCACCACAGACAGGCGACAGAACGGGCGGCGGTCACCGGGCGCTGAAGCGAAGAGCCTGCTGACGCCCGTCACTCTCCTGGCCTCGATCCGCCCTTGGCCAAGGCCGTTGGCCTCTTTCGCAGAGCCCAGCACGGCACCAACATCCGCGAAGCGAAGACTCCCCCTTTCCCACAACCCCACCAGCAACACGAAGACGATGCTAACTGCACGCCACATCCTGCCCGCGCCCTCCCCGTCAGGCCCCTTTTTGATGCACAGTGCGCACGGCGGGCGCCGCTCGCAGCGGCCTGCCTGGGAGTCCTCACCTCTGCTTCGGAGGTTGGTCGGTGACCGCGGCGCTCGCCCGCCGTTCCCCGGTGGCGCCTCGTGGAGCAGGGAAACGCGCAGCGGCCAGGCGGGGCCACCCCCAAGGTGTCCAAGGTCGCCGTCATGGGAGCATCCTTTTGTGCCCCGTCTGATGGCGGATGCTCGGGAAGAAACAGGACGTCTTCATGGCCAGAGTCGGCTGAGCGGCCCTCGCGGGTACCGTGTGTACATTGCGTGTCCGGTACCACAGGGCGGTAGTGCTTGCGTGCGCCCAATACAATCACTGCCGGCACTCTGCAGGCTGCATGTCAAACCTCTCCGGCCTCCCAACGGGAACGAGGGTCGGAACCCGCCCAAGGTTGATTGGCTGCGTCACACGCAACCGCTGACGTCATCCCAGCTTGACGAGCCCTGCGAGCAGAACAGGCCACACACCACAGCGAAGTGCGCTTGGTCCGCTCTTGGAAGTGGAGCAATACACTTGTGCGCCGTCGTTGAGAAACATGGGGCCACACCTATGCGCGAGGTGACAACACATAGTGGGTAAGCGGTCCCATGGTACTACGCAACGGTAAACCCAGGCGCACACGGAATTGGCCATGCGCACGTGCTGCTATGTCGCTCATGCGCATGTACTGAAACCACAGTACTGTACGCGAATGCAGTACTGTGCCTCTCCTCGTTCGTGGTGTGCACAGCCTCTTGCGGCTTCTTCAATGTGTGCCCCTTCGGAGAAGTTCACGACAAGCTGGTGCCTTGCTTGCGTCGTAGGAGATGACAGGTTGACTGCGTGATGCTTCGCTCATCCTTAGCCATATGGCCCATGCAGATGTGGTGCGGTCACGTGCGATTCATTGACGCCAAAACGAGCGCGACTGTCAGCCAGCAGTGGGGATTCCAGTCCGGGCGTTTGGACGCGGCTCTCCTAAAACGGACCCGGAGAGGAGATGTCTTTTCAATTGTACGCGCACCGCCACTGCCGCCGCCCAGGACGCAGTTCTGAACTGCTGCTATTGCCGACCAAGAGCCTGGAACACCGTCACGAACTTCTGTGCATCTGTAGAGGCTGCAACGCCTAAGCGGCGCAAACGCGGTGCAGAAGACAATCGTACAACGCTCTAACCATCCGGATATTTGGACAGTCGTGCGTCATTGTGGCATACAGTATCGAAAGCGACGATGTGCTGACGCTCCCACACGTTGATCGCAATCTGAGTGCAATCCTCGAGAGCACGTCTCTCTCATGCAGAAGCCTATCCTGGTCATTTGGACACCTTGGGCGGAATACCGGACAATTGGGCTTCCCAATTCCTTAATGAAACCTGTGAAGGCCAAACAGCAATCTGCATGCCTGCACTCTGTGTCACCACACGCCGAATGCTGCCATGAATGAAGCGAGGACTGTCGAATTTGGGCCTATGGCTGGCATTGCTCAAGCCTAAGGAGGAATGGATTGAAGTAGCTGCCCGATCTCACAGGTTGCTATTAGGTGTTCAATGGAACGGCTGACACGCCAACGCAGCTTCAGGCCAGGCAGAGGGCTATCACGACTACAAATGCAGTGCTTGACGAACAACATTGCTAGGCTTTGGTGATTACCACTCCCCCATTCTGGCCTCTGCTCGGCGCAGCGACGCGTCCTTTGAGCTCGTGGACTTTCTGTGAAACAGCGAGACATCCATAGGAATTCGGATAGGCAGGGTTGCGCTGGGACAGGCTAAAGCAGGAGAGGCGCTCAATGCAGGAACCACCATGGAAGTTGATTGCTATGGATGCTGGCCAGCAGGAGATGGGCAAATTCCTGACCGATTCTGTTTCTGTCGAATAGGTGCTTTCCGCGGATGCAATTCTCAAAGTTGGCTGAAAGCTCGAAATTACTTGTTCGCAAACATTCCGCTACGCAAAAACAGGCAATATCCAGTCCGGATACGGACGTCAGGAACCCCGCATGGAGAAGGGGCGCCGTGAGGCACAATTGGATGCGAAGCGTAGTCGCATCAACACAGCGCGGTTCCCTGGTGGCACAAGGTCGTTTTATGCGAAGCTACATTGCAGCAGAGTCAATGCGTCCGTATTTTTGGATGCCGATGGCAATGCTCGCCCATATTTGGCGGTAAGGGTGCTGTTTAATGGTGCTTAATGGTTGGTGCGGGGGCATTGTCGGAACACTGGTCAGCATAGCATCAATCCCCACGCCAAAAGCATTATTGTTCATGGCCATGAACCCATGGGTGTGCGCATCCTTGTACAGTATGCCAAACCACCAAATTCCATAGCCTGGAGCTTATTCCGCACACGAGTCTGGATATCTGGCTTGTTCGGTGTGACCACAAGTCCAGCAACCTCAGTTTCTTCCACCCTTGTCGGCTTAGCCGCCCCACCATCCCACCCTCGGCGTACATGCAGCACGCCTGAGACATGGTATCCAAAGCACTACCCTGATCTTGGCTAAGGCAAGCTTGGCAAATGAATGTGAGCCATTTGTCTATTTGGGGCTTTTCGCTGGTTGCATACATTGCATGCTACCAGCTGTGTACTAAGCCCCAGCGTCAATCAGTAGCGACAATGAATCCAGTGCTCCGGCCCTTGCGTAACCCTCTCGAAGTCCGTACAGAAGGCATGTGCATGGAAATCCGCAGCGAAGCCATCAGCGATTCCGCACCTGTTGTTTGGCTCTTCACGATTTTCGGTTGGAAAAAACACTTCAGAAAATCCACACGAGCAACGCACATCCGTATTGATAACAGTAGCCCATTAGGAACCCAAAAGTACCTTTGAGCCTTGAAGGCGACACGGGGCACGGGGCACGCCTGCGCGAGCGCAAGCCTCCACAGTTGGTGTTTGCTCCTCAATGGACCATTCCCACTCACTACTCCTACTCCAACCGCTCACACGAACGTACGAGAAAAGCGTAATGCCAGAATTGCCGAGTCCGTCGTCGTGCCCCGCTATTATCACAGTTGTCTAGTCAGCTGCTCCCCGCACGCCATTCTCGTGGCACCTTTGTGCTCATCGAAAACCAACTGGCCTTTGACCCAGGTCGCTAGCACGCGGCCTTTCATCTCCCTGCCGATGTATGGCGACACCTTGTGCCTGTGGTAGCAGCCCCTCTCCGACGTGTCTGCGTTCGCGTCCGGGTCCCAAACCTGCAACAGCTCACGCATGAGCACGCATGAGCAAAGCACACGCCCTTGCCGAAAATCACAGGTCCAAGGGCAGCGGCTTGCCCCCTTGGGACAAATGTCAGCAGCCAAGTTTCGTTGCCAAACTCAGGACATGGGCATGAGCCTCAGGAGCAGAGAGTAGCTTGAGAAGGTTGGCTTGCGCGGTGTCATGCGCATGTGCAGAATTGGCGTTCATTAGATCGTTTCAAATCAGCGTGCAAGTATCGCTTCCCATCTTACACACAGCCTTGCGTAACACCACGCGGTGTGTAGCCAGGGCGCTGAGACACATTTCATGGTTTGCAGACGATGGCTCTCGAATGAAACAAGAACAAAAGGCAGGGCAAAAATGGGTGGCGCGAATACACTTGCATTCATAAGGAAGCACACGTTACTGCGTACTTTCGGCGAGGGCGCCACCATCTGACGGTGGTGAGGCGGCGCCTGGATCGCTCTAAAAGGAGGCGCACAGTGCCTTCTGTAATCAAGTCAAAATGCCTCTATATGTCCATAGAAACGGGCGTCCGCACGTTGTACTTCAAAGTACTGACAAGCGCAAATATGATGCCGCAAGAAGAATCGGTCAAATCCGTGCCTGTGCGTCTTGTGTTGTCACAAATCAGGCACGCCAAATGCTGTCGCGTGCTGACTCTACACATCCACACCCGCACGAGCTCGCTCAAACTGTCAAGTACTCGCGGCGTCTGTGCTTGTGGCTCGCTCCAATGCTTGTGCAGGGCATAAATCCGGACAATCGCCCATTGGATGGGGCCAGTACTGTGAACTGAAGCGCACTGAAACAAAGGCGCGTGTGGGTGTGTTCAAGGCGACGGTGGGGCCTGAGGAAGCACCTCAGAACGATTTGCAGGAACGTTTCAGCATAATTTGCAGGAATTGACATGTTTGTGCATTCGAGCTGATGAATCCAGACCCACTGAGCAGGTTCATTATCTTTAGCAGGGGCATTCGTTCAGCACCAAACTGTCGCCACGCACCACAATGTCGGCGTCCATGCCAGCTGCAATCTTCCCTTTCCTGTTCGCCATCCCTAACATCTCTGCCGGGTGCTCGCTCAACAGAGAGAATACTTTTCTCATCGAAAGCTTCCTTTTGCTCGCGCCTCCCAACACTGCTGGCAGCGTATATTGCAGCCCTATGACAAATCCCCTGCGTCAGACCATGCGCAAATACCCAGGGCTGACGAACCAACATGCACGTCACCATCGCACTGCAGATAGATTTTCTGGGGGCCACACCCAGTATACAAATCTGCAGACCATCAATCACCATTGCCAGCCAACCCACATTCATAAAAATTGAAACAATGCGTGCATGATGGGCACATCAATGATATATGTATAGCTGGGTTTCGCGCGGCAAGCTAAAAGTTTCAAACTGGATCAATCTGCCCTTCGCCGCCTTGAGAATGGGAAACGGCATGCCTTCAAAGCAATTAACACATTCAAGCAACCGGTCTCTTCCTCTGGCCCCTCTCAGCCCCTCAGCCCTACTCAGAAGTGGCGACGACAGGCCAAACCCACAGCAACAACCACACGACGGGCCCCATATTGGCAGATGGCAGATAGTTGATACACAACTTTTGGCAACACAACGCTGCACAACCATGTGTATGAATTCTGCAGAACTGCAATTTTGTGCCTGTGGAGACGGCCGCTCGGCTACGACCTGAAATGCCACCCCACGCCTTCCCAAAGTCTCCGTTGTCCAGGTGCTTCATGCCAGGGGGCGCTGGCGAATGATCAGACGACAGCATGTCTATGGTCCCAGATGCCACTGCATCCCAGAGACGGATGGCGTTGGCACTGTCTCTCAGCGGCGGGGCGCACTTGTATTGCGTTGCCCCATCTGGAATGCCCTCGGCCCAGAAACTCAAATAGTGAGGGCAGGTTTCCACAGTCAGGGGTAAGCCATACGACTTTGCATCCTGGGGAATGCGGCAATGCAACATGGTCACCACTGCTGCCCTGTCAACTTGCGGACCAAGATGACGAATTGCTGTATTGTGTTTTCAACTCGTTTTTGGCACAGATGGCGACAACGTCCAGAGGCATCTTCCATTCAAGGACATAGCCAATGTGCTGTGCAGTGACTTGCCTTGTGTGACACAAGATGCCACACTGATGTTAGCATTCATAACATCATTGCCATGTCCTGTAGGTATGTGGGCTCGCTCCATCCAGTCAGATGCGATCGAAGCAATCACGCAAATATCACCTAGGCCCCATTTGAGAGAACAGCTGCGTGTGTCCTCACCAGTTAGTGACACCGCTGTTCAATAGCCCATTCAACACATGCAACACATCACGCGCCCAAAAAGCGGGAACCAGAATCACCACATCCACAGAAGGTCCAATCCATGCTGGATGCTCTGCTTCAGTGAACAGAGCACAGGGCACAAGAACACCCATTTCTGATCAGACCCTTGGACATGGCGTCCAGGCATTGGTACGCGATTACAGACCATGGCACCTGCAATGTGGAGGTAGATCCCATGTGGCATCCCAATGCTAATGGCGTATCCCTTTCCCTTGTTTTCTTACCAAATGGCAAAGGGCAGCTTGAGAGTCCACAACCAAAACTGAGTGTGCATCTGAAAGTCCACTGCACAGGCAGCACGCCCTTGCAGTCCTTACCTGTATCATGGCCAGGCTGTTAGCATCAGCCAAGTGTGCAATATGGATCCTGAACCCAGCCTTGCTCTCATGGGTGCTGCTGTTGAGCACATCAATTAAAGTTGAAATGGCGTCGCTCTCAAACTTTGGAGGCCGGGATGCCATGTACTGGGAATATGCCCGTGGATCTCCCTGTTGAGAAAACATCATTCACCACTTGGTACGATCAATTCTGGATTCTCCATCCCACTGCCATAGAGAACCCCAGTGCTGCAGAAGCGCAGCGTTTACAGAGAACTCTGGAGATACCAGAGGGTGCACATTAAAGAATTTGAGCGGTTGGAGCATGGCTATTTGTACACTTTTAGGCTTCCTACAACCAGTAGGCGAGATAGCATACACGCCCATTGTCTGCGATGCATACACAAATGTTTGCACATGTTCTCAGAACATGCTGAGTTTGCAGATGTCCTGTGGCCGAAATGTGCTTGCTCCCCAAAAGAAGTCAACATGGTGCCACGTCAGGGTGCACAGAAACTATTTCAAAGCTGAGTTGTGATACTCTTGTGATCGTTCAATGTGAAACTAACGATTCCTCGCATCTGTAATCAACGCCGTTGCAGCTTATGGGGTGTTGGTTGTCGTGTGCAAATGCAAAAAATGGCAATCTTTGCAACTGCAGCCTGTTCCTGCACAGAGGTTCAGCGTGTAGCATACCTCAGGCACATGCACATGAGAAACAGATTCTGCATGCACAAACAAAGGCATTCCTCTCTCCTTCAGCAAAGGGATGGCGCTTTCGATGTGGTGCCTGCTGACGTTTGGAAAATCGTTGATACCCGAGGGTGACATGAACGCTTTCAGTCCGAAGGCGCCTGACTCCAAAAGCGCCTCCAGTGTCACCCTGTCAGCAGCGTTCTCTGGGACAAGCCCACCCCAGAAGCCGGTGTTCACCACAGATCTTGCCTATTCGATGCCAACACAGAAAGGGCAAACATCACGGAGACAAATCACTGAGAATAGAATGCCCACACAGGCAAAGCCCCAAATTCATATTATGGCCCCACTTCAGTGCAGGGCACAGTAGTGACGTTCATGTAGGGATGATTGTTCAAGTACACTGGATGAGAACACGTATGGTCCAAGTGGTCAATGCCAGACCTCCAATCTCTGCCACAGTGTGCCAGAGAACACTACATTCCCAACATCCTTCTCATGTTCACATCCCCAGCGCCCTAAGGCTCACCTAGTTGCATTCTGAGTACCTTGGCAAGGCCCAACTTCTGCTTGAGGAGCGGCCCTTCAGTAGTGCATGGGTGGCTGTTCAACGGCATGTCTACAACTGTTGTCACACCCCCAGCCGCAGCTGCCCTAGTCCCTGACACCATCCCTGCCATGTATTGTGCACAGACATCCTCAACTCTGACAGAACTGCCCGCAACAACGCGACAGGTGCACTTGGCTGGTGTGTGTTTGTGTTGCCCCACATTAGGAACCTGCTATCCTCCCAGAGGTTCCAGAACTTTGGAAAATATTGCACATATCTGCACAGATTGCTGTCGTTGAATATGGGAAACCACTGCGCTTTCACCTCTGAGGTGCTGCCAAGCACTGCTTCACCTGAACACATACCTCCTATCATCCATTATGTTACATTTGCGATTTTGCATCAAAACACTGCTCTATTTGGGCATTTTTGGTATGTTTTTGTTTCCATTCCCCATCGAGTAGCCCTCGGTGCTCCTTTTGTGCCAAAATGCAGTGCCCCTCGTGGGCAACAGTACTTTCTTTCCGATGTTGATTCATAATTTAAAATCTAGGAGTCCAGGAGCGATCTTCGAGAGTAACAAGTTAATCTATTTGTTGCAATGGTCACAAACGTTTTACAAGCACAGAACCACTCCAAACTTACTTCAGTGCAACTACATGTACATGACGAACATGGAAATCTGGTGGCTGCAAGACATCGTGTATCCACCCAGGCAATTGCACCAGTCAAACTCCTGCAAACAACACCAATGATAGTGGGCACACTGGGGTGAGGAACACAGGGTGGAACTGAAGACACAGTCCAAATTTGGATTATGCTTTTGCTCATTGAACTCCAGCAAATGCTTGTGCAGCTGAAAGATATCTACAAAATAGTGCAAGTTTCTTGGTCCTTCATTCCCAGGGGATAAAGATAGAGATTGCACCTTCCAGATAGCAAATATACACACTCCGAGCAGCGGCGTGTGCACTTTTGTCCTTAAGCATCGTCAATCCCCAGGAAGCCATCTGTATGTGAAAATGAGCCTGCAGCTAAGAATTGGCTGAGGCCAACAATCCACCTGGCGGTGTCATGAGCCCATCCATCAAAGTTAAAGCTGGCGATTAAACAGGAATTCCAATATGCAAGTTGAGTTTTGTGCCCAATTCTACGTTTCCCACCTTCCCAATCTTCGCGGCCTGGCATGTTAAGATGCACATGGACGTCTATTATTCCGGGAGCCACGACGGCGCCACCGTAATTGAACACAGCTGCAGATCTCGTGCTCGCCGGCAGATCTTCCATGTTGCGGGTGCCGTTGAAAGGATAAACACCAACAATTGTCCCGTTGCTGACATGAACTACAAGACCGACAAACAAAATGCGCACAGCAACTTCAAGATTGCCTTGAATGGGTTTCACCCAACCTAGACGCAAAAGCCAGCCCATTCGACCGCGACTTAAGTGCATTGTTCACCAATCAACATTGCCGTTTATGGATGCACAGCACACGACCATGCTTTCTTCGGATGCACAGCAAAGCGAAGAGCACACACACCCACGCGCGTCCAGAGTGGCCCATTTCCTGGGAGCGCGTACCGTCACTGGCAGCGCTGGGATGATCATTCCTCGCAAAGAACTTTCGAACGACGGCCTTACGCTGGCCCTCGCGTTTCCAAATATGACGTCTCGAAACGCGATCACCGCTCCTATTCGCCAATGCAGCCCCGTCGAAGCGCAAGAACATTGGTCCAGGTCTCCCCCGCTCCGCCACCACAGACATCCCAGCGCTGCCACCGCGAGGAATGACGAAGCGGCCCTCCCGCAGTGCAGCAACATCCGCCACCCTGCCGCCCGCATCTCCCAACGCGCCTCACCTGCGGCAGGCGCTTCCTCGCCATCTCCCGCCAGCACCCTCTGACCAACGATGAGCACCTCGCTGTGGCCCGCAAGGCCGCAGCAGCGCCAGGCATTGCCTCCCATGGCACCGTACAGTCGGGGATACAGCGACAGCCTGCGCCCCGTGGCCTTAAGCGTCGCCCAGTCCCAGCCCCCCCTGTGCAACAGGGCTGCCAGCGCGACCGCCTGGCACGCGACAACTAGGAACAGCGTCCCGCGGTCCATCGGCGCAGCTCCAGTGCATGTGTCGGGACGAACCGCCCCTAGTGGACAGGGCAGCGCTGCGGGCGCGGGCTGCTGAGTGGGCTCGTGTAGGGCTTGGAACATGCGGTGCGGCGTCCATGGCACCCCGCGGCATATGCGGCAGCCGATGACTCACAGGGGCCCAATTTTGGCACTTGCGCCTCAAACGCGCCGTGTTTTCGCCGCGACGGGATCCTTTCAACCCAGGCAGGCGTAGTGGCCAATTGGGTTAATTCACGGTTTGATCAATGTCCGTTCCACAAACGCGCCAATGAGTGTCAATCTGTTTGGCTCCCTGCCTTGCGATGCAAATCACAGTGTTCAACCGCTGCATCTAAGTCTTTTAACTTCACACTGATGGGTCGATGGCTGGTTCGCTATTGGGGGAGCGATTCCGGGGGAGGCGGTCTGGGAACAAGCTGGAGGCAATGGAGCTACAGAAAGACCCCAAACAGCGACGTCTCTTTATGGCCAGGCCAACCATTCAGTCCGTCTGTAATGACTATGTCACATCAACGCGATCTTTGAATCCAATCTCGGAGTTATAGGAATGGGCAGTTGCGCCCAAAACAATGGAAAATGTGGAAGTTTCTGGGTATCCCATAAGTAGAGAGGCTGCCTTGTTGACTGGAAAAAGCCTGCAAAGGCGCCCATCACGAAATGTGTGCCCAAGAGTGCATAGAAATCTTGGGGACTACCTTTAGACGCAGTTTGTGGACGAGTCGGTCCAAGTAAACTGCAAAGAGAATGGCTGCCAGAGAATAGATGTGGCTGCCATTTCTGCCTAGAGCGCATTCAAGGCGTCCATCTGCGTCTCCCTGAACAGAAACTCGTTAATAAGGATAACCAGTTTTCAGAGACACGTGTTTAGCGTATTTGACCGGGGCCCCTGCACCGAGCAATATTGAACTCTGTATCAAGCAAAATTGTCTCCGTATTCCAGTTGCTTGGAGCAAAAGCTGATTTGGTTGTAGGCCCAACACCATTGGTTCTGTTACGAAACCAAATTTTGTGCAAAATAACATTGAACTCACGAAACAAAACAATTCGAACACCGAACTACACCATTGTTGGATTTTGCCCATGAATTCACATTCGCAACAACTCCGGGTTGAAGGTTCCTTATCTTTGAAGTGGTTCACAAGCAACGTGTCTCTGGTGCCATACTATAAAATCCTGGACTATTGGAGGGGCTTTTATACTGTGCACAACAACTTGGAAATGATGCATTGGATCGCGCTTGTCCAATTTGGTTATTAGCCTCAAAGTTTTCACTGCCCTTCTCCTTTGCACACTGTGGGCGAACGATGCCTAATCCCTGGCGTCTTTTGCTGGCAATGTGCAGCATTGGCACTGGCGCCCGGTATAAGTTGGAAGCAGTGCAGCAGCGAAGCTCCACTGGAATCAGGCTGTGTCTGATCATCCGTGATGTACTGGGGATGTTGCTGAAGCATAGGCTGGTCCGCTAGGCGAGCGGCTGCCCAACCTTCCATTCAGTGTATGGTGTCAATTGGTTGCCTAGCCCATGCTTCAAGGCAATACGCTCCATTCCATTCTGTCCATGCCCATAGGAAAGGAACATGTTGCTAAGATGTCCAAGAGGGGCGTCGACGAGATGCAGACAATGTTCTGCAAGTACAACTGTGAAGAAACGGGCTGGTCTGGTGTACAATGAGGTCTGCAAAACACATGTGTGTAGGCCATCAATGACGGAGCTAATAGAGGAAAGAGGACGCCGTGCGCATTATGCATCGATGTCTCAAGTGTGATTGCACAGCAGCAAGCCTGTAAAGGAAGAATATTAAGAGTAATTTGCCAATATGTTCCCATAGAGACAATGCAAGGCCCTGCAAGTTGTCAAGTGGGTTGCACAAGTCAATCGCAAACAGCAAGTTGGTAAATCCATCGCAAAATAGGTTTCCATAACAATGGCACCAACTGGACCAGAGGTCCAAGTACCCACATCGAAGATCTGCCTGAGAAAAATTGATGCATAATCTCCATATACAAGTGGTATTACAAATTAGAATAGCCAAACCACAGGCAAGAAGATAATGGTAAAATAAAGTACCAGTCTGTTATCCATGATCGACTGAAAGGCACATCATGTAGAGAATCGGGAACCCATCTACGTTCTACTTCGGAATCGCTGCTTCAGGGCTCGGGAAAACTCTGTATCGTAGTGAACAACTTGGGAATCCGAATTTTCGCCTTCTGGCTTCATCTGAACACACAACAGTCCAAGAATTGAAATAAGCAAGCAGCTGCATCAATGCTGCAACATAGAGTTCCTGCAGGATAGCTGCTATCAGTTTCATCTCTATGTTCGTTGACCCCACCCGCAACACAATACTTGAATGCTCATTGAGGAAAATGGACAGCTGTCGCACTCAACCATAACACCACCAACACAGAAGGGAAGGCAGGGGCACGGTGCTCACACAACACAGCAAGGGCTGGCAACAGAGAAACTGTCCTGGTCATCACCCCACCTGCCATGTGCTCACAAATGCCCTTGCCCAGTCTCGAAAAGGTGCCATTTCTTCATGAATTAGCTCTCCACAAGGAGCAGCCTTGCTTCGCAGTGTTTGCCGCAAGTCCTCTAAACTTGTGATTTGGAAGGTGTGGCAGAGGTATGTCCCAACTCCAACAACGCCAAGCACGCCAAGAGCAGAGCCATACATGATCATCCTCAATCCCACCTACAATAGCACAGTGTGCGGTATAGAGCAAGTGGCAAAAGCCATTTAACAGCAAACTGCCCACCCTATTGCTCAGCCCAGGGATGCGAATGCGGGGTACTTGCTTCTGCATTTTGACAAGCATTGTCAGGTCCTGCAGACAGCCAGCAAGCTGATGCAGTCTCATCAACTGCATTCTGTAGAGACATGTGCCAACGCCACTGTGTAGTTACCATGCTGCCCACAACTGCACACCAACTGTTGGTTTTGCATGGTAAGCAATCCATTTCCAGCTTGTGCACTAGATATTGGTCCTGCAGTATTCATAGATGGCGGAAATCAACACCCTCACGGCTAAACCCATCTGGTACTTTACTATCTAGCAAACCACGTGGTTCTAGCAGCCTCAGGCCTGCATGTTACACAAGTGGAAAACACATGCCACTGTCCCAGAGCGACCATCCACTGCCTGGTGATGTCTGATATCGCCTGCAGGGCACAGGGCCACTGTAATGCCAAGGAGTAAGGCATGTGCATGAGAAACAGAGTTACACTGACAGCCACCCAGGAACATACTTGGACAAAAAACTAGCCTACCATAAACTGACGCTTGGCAGCCTCCCTTGCAGCAGGTGACATCGTATCACCTCTTTGTTTCTGGAAGCCGACTTGTGAGATTTCCCCGATCCTATGGGTGGAGACATGCAGTCTGGGAACTGCTGCAAGGGCTCCAAGTCCGCCCAAAGCGATCTGCGCCCTCCATCTCCTCAGTTCTGCGTCTGTCAATGGTGGTAGGACGCCTTTGAGGCGACTGCTCCACCACAGACAGTACGTGTCATTGCTTATGGCAAGCAGGTTCTCAAGAAGACGATTGTTGTTCCGATACTTCAGTACAGCTTGATATCTGCCAAGAGAACATTTGTCACACATGCATGGAGCCCTGCAGCCAACAGGCATGGGCATGGGCCCTCCATCATTACTCAACACAATACAGGGAACAGATAGACATGGCCCGAGCACGTGACCCTGATATCAGGTACTAATAAGTTGCAGGTATTGCTGCATTTGATTCACCAAAGCGAGTGAACCCTCATTATCACTCCCAATTCAGAGCTGGGGCAGCTCCAGGAGAGACATTATCCTTACCGGGTAGTTTTGGCACCAGCATCAGGACAATCCAGACGGGCAGCTTGCTGCAGAATTTCCGAAAGCACCTGGCGTGCAGACAGTGACAAGGCCAGTTGGTGTGGGATGCCAGTCCTGACGATGCTTGACTTTTGCAGTCTATCCACTGTTGGCAGGGTGGCAACAGGTGCACACAATCTGTCCCACAGGGACACTTGTTTCTGTGAACAACGAACTCGTAGCTTGCTGTTTGCATCGATATAGACAAAGTCAGGCATTTTGCACATCGATGCCTGCACAATTTGAATGGTCACTTGTTCATGTGCTGATTTGAAGACATTAACAAAATAGGACTCGCAACCCAGGTGACTCTGAGGGGTCACACTTTTTGGAGGTGCGGATTCTTTTGCCAGTCACTTTAGTCAAAACAACTGTCATCCTCAACTGGTGCTTGGCTGTCCAGCCATCCACAACTTCTCCAACCAAACATGATTCTGAGGGCAGAGGTGCAACCGATCAAACTGTGGTCAACAAAACCCGGAAGCATTCACGAGAGCTTGTTCTGCAGGAACTCTGACTTTACTTGTGTGCTCCCTATTTTGGCTTCCACTCTGCACTGGTGACGGCCGCAACAGATTGTCGCAGCCACAAAATGTCGCTGTCGTCGACGTGCGCAATACCGTGACGCTCTTCTCACTGCTTCCCATTGTCTGTTCCCTCGGAGGTAAGAAGTCCCCACCAGGGCCTTGTTTGATGACGCCCTGCCTCACGAGCTTTTTCATGAAGTTGTGGAGCTCCGCTTCCTAAGCAAGAATCCCAATCCAATTCGCCAGTTGGGCTCCAGGGCTGGGACAGCGCTTCGATCGCCAAAAGCAAAGCATTCGAGCTGCGTGCAGCGCGGGGCGCACCACGCCCCCAGAGCGATCCCACCCTCCGAGATGCCAAGGCATAGAACCTGGCACCACTGCCGAAACGAACGACCACCCGGCGTCCTCCTGGCTCACCTGCTCGCGTTTGAAATAAGCACCCTCCCGGGCGAGGCCCCCAAGAAAGCTCGCCATTGGGAGCAGTGACCTCGGGCCTCCGCGCTGGGCAAAGCGCGCTCGGTTTGAACATCCACAGGGAAAGGCACCTCACCCCACACGCACGTGCTGATGAGTGACTGATCACGTAATCTTCCAACATCCGGGGGTCACTGTTTCACGCCATTCCATCACTCCAGAAGGCGTCATTGTCCCAGGACATTCCAGCCCTCCGGAATGTCACCGCTATTTGCTTAAACCCCTGTCATCCAAAAAGCTGCGTCCGCACACAAGGGCGACTGCCCCTCCCCGCGGCCCCCCCACCTCCCACCCTCTTTGGACCGCCTGTTGTTCCACCACCGTACCACCATGCAAGGGCACCAAGCCAACAAACAGAAGTTGATTGTTAATCATCGCCGTTTGTTGCAAAGGTCAGCCTGTGTTTGTGTGAGGTACACCCTCAAGATCAGCAGTGAAACATCGATGGCGTGCATGCTCAGAGTTGCATCCTTTTGCTCACCACTGTGGCAGAGTTGTCCAGAAATGCCCGACCGAAGGCATGGTGCCACCCATGCAAACCTTGGAGCCCAAGGAGACGGGTTGCAATATATCACTGGCATGCAGGCTGAGACTATCCTTGTGCTATGCTGCACAGCATCCCCAGATTTCAAGGAATTTGGAGTTGCAAATCCTTGTTCTGAAGCTACATGGACACAGTTGATACATGGTCGTGCACGTGAGTGTTGCCAGCACAGCGTGAGGGCTGCAGGACTGTGTGGCAGCCTGGGTGACCTGGAGGGAGACCAATTACTGCGGTCATCTTTTATAAGAGGTGACCCAAGCGATGTAATTTTCAGAGTGACAGGCTACAGAAGCCCTTGCCCATCTAAGTAAACTCCAAATTGAAGCCCAGCTGAAAACTTGGATGCTCAAAACTCCCAGCGAAGCGCTACCAGCGTGGCACAACGGGCATTCCATGCACAGCAACTCCAGGGGAGAATGGGCAGTCCCCAAGCCAAGGGACTGGCCTTACACAATCGTCGAATCACAGTGTCCCAATACATCGTGGACATCAGAAGCTGCACACCAACCTAGGTACTTCAACTTCACGAGGTGCCCTCACTGCGGAAAATGTTGCTTGATCATCTGGGCTGAAAGCAACCGAAGAACAGTCTCATCCTTGTGCCCAGCTTTGGCCAGGCACCGAGAGAGACTGGACAGCTCACTTTGAGTGAATTTCGACAAACGCTGTGGCCTTGACACCTCCTCAACAAGTGCATCCAGGAATGAAGGGTCACTTGGCTCCACAATACTCAGCGTCTGTGCCATTGAGCAGATTTCATGTTCCTTGAAGTTTGGCATTCGAGTTGGCTTGCCAGCTTCCTGGAGCAGGGCCTCTGGTATTTGCAAGTCATCTTGTGTCATGCATCCCAGTCCAGTTATCACCTGTGACAGATCCTGGCTCCTATAACTCTGCAGTCGATCTTCCGATGCGGCCTCTTTCATAAGAGCAGCAATGTGTGCAGGGTGGGACAGCCCCATGTGCCCCAAGCCCAGAACAATTGAAGAAAATTCGGGATTGCCCATGCCCATCAATCTGTCTGGCGCTGTCACCACCTTGGCAAGCGCGTGCAGCGGCCCTTGCCCACTGAATTTCAACACCCCCAAGCCATTTATAATGTTCGCAAAATCGTGATTCCTCATTTCTTGCAGCACGTCTGGCCTCACTGCCTGCTCCAGCAACTTCTCTATCACAGGACCAGAGTTTTCGAGCCTCATGGCGCCAAACCCGTAAATGAGATTTGCAAGGTCCACCTTCTTGTATCTCTTTACCCTATCATCCTTCACCACCTCTTGCACCACAGACCTTGTGACTCGCTTTCCCCTGAACCTCAACTGGCCCATGTTGTAGACCACCATTGCAAGCTCCCATTCCCTGAGGCGTGCCAACCGCCCAGGCTTTGAGATCTCATGCAGCACCGCGATGACGACACCCAAGCCTGTGATTTTTAACCTTCCCAAGCTGATGACCACATGGACCAATCCATGCTCAGAAAACTCGGCCAGCCTATTGGGCTTTGCTATCTCACCGCAGACTTGCGATATGTGTGCCTCATCTGAGTATTTGCACAGAGCCATGGAGGACATCACATTGGTTAACCCCTGCTCTGAAAACTTAGACAGGTGGCGATCACTAACTGCCTCGGTCATTAATGCCACCAAGTCGTGTGATGGTGAGCAGCCGCAGAAAGTCACTGAGAATAGAATGCTTGATAGCTGCTGAGATGTGAAAGCAGAGAGCGTGTCTGGCTTGGCTGCCACCCTCAGCAATGGCAGCAGCACTGCCTCCGAGACCCTGTTCTGTCGGAAGCCATAGGCAAAGTAGGACAGCATCTGCGGACTTGCTGAAGGTAGCCTGCCTGTTACCTCCAGCATAAGTGCACCTATGCCAGCCTTGTCTGTGTACTGTTTCTTTGGGATGCCCGTGAGCAAGCCAGATAGACCCAGATCCGAAAACCCGGAGAGCCTGTCTGGCTTGAGCACTTCCTGCAACAGAAAGTTTCCCATCTTGTCATCCTTGGCAGTCTTGTCGATTGCAAAGATGAGCTGCAGCAGCTGGTTTTCAGAGAGGCAGGCAGGGATGCGAGGACTGGATCCGTCACCCACCAGGCTGCTGGCAAAGCTGGATGGTGCTAGTGCATAGTTCAGACGCCGCAGGGAAAACACGATGCTTTTCATTGCCAGCTCACTGAAGTTCTTCACTCGTTGGGGCCGTTCTAACTCACAAACAAGGGCATCCAGCACTGATTCGTTCCCATAGCCCAGAACACCCATTGCATGCAGAATATTTGCAATTTCCTGCTCCTTGAACACTACCAACCTATCTTTCTTGGATATCTCTTTGCACAATTTGGAAAGAAACTGCTCGTTGTCTATCTTCATCCATGCAGCCGACAACAAAATCATCGAAATCTCTGCGGATGTGAAAATGGAGAGCCTTTCAGGTCTGACCATTTCAAGTGCCATGGGCATCAGCGCCTCCCCATGCTTTATTTCCATCTGCCCCAAGCCAAACCAGATGGCAGTCAGCTCAATAAATTTGAAACTTTCCAGTCGGTGTGATTTCGTCACCTCTCGCACCAGCGACAGGGCAATCATGTTATCTTGATGCTTCAGCCTTCCCAACCCATAAATAACTTTGGCAAGCTGCTGCTCGCTGCACAGTGCGAATAGGTCCTGATTCAGCATCTCATGCACCAGGCTGGACACAAACGCCTCTTGCATTTGAAACACAGGGATCAAACCTCGTCGGGGCTCCAACGATCCCTCTATGTTGTAGGGCTCGCTGCCCACAACTGAGTTTCTTTGGTCCTGGGTCCTTTGCAGCAAACCCAATGCATACAAAATACTGGAAGACTCCATGCAATCGAAGCTGCTGATCTTGTGCGGCGCTGCCACCTGAGACACCAAGGCCTGAAACATCTCCCTGTTCTTGTACCCCATCTTGGCACAGGCATGAAGAATGGCAGCCACGTTCTTGGGCGTCATGGTGGCAGCCAATCCGCTGGCTTGCCTTGACAAGTCATCCAGGAAGTGCCTAGGGGCGCTGTCCCGAAGCTGCTTCAGCCTGTTGAAGGCCGCCTCTACAATGGTGGCAGATGCTGCACTTCCCAACCTTTGCATCACAGCCTGAACCTCTCCTGGGTTGTTCAGAATCCTGAAGTCGTAGAATTGTGTCGTCACAGGCTGTTGTGCCGCCAAAGATGTAAGTGCATACAGCTGGAGGCTATTGGCTGCGTCGGTCTCTCGGAAGCTTTGACATAAGGCTGTGATGTACTGAGAGAGCCGAGACAAACGGTAGGCTGAGCGCATCCTGGATGAGGCATCGCTGCACAGTGCAAACAAGATGTCCAGCTTATGCATAGTCACTATTCAACAACAACAACAGTAAATGGAACATTAATAAATGGAGCAACAGTGGCTAAAACATTCACATCTGTTTTGGAAATTCTCACAGCAATACCCAACACTGCTGAATGATATTAGTCCAAATGTCAGGGAAGATGCTCGCCTCAGAATTGGCAGCTCGCTGATGTCCATGTGGTGCATGGATGAGCTGACCAAACTCTGACTGGTTACTGCAGACTCGGAAACATCGCATTGCATCAAGTTTCAAGGCCCATTGGCTATATGGTGGTGCGCAGGCGCAGGTACACACAATTGCATCCACGAAGCTCAAGGAATTGTCTGCAGACTTGTCTGACTCCAGCACCAGCTGACTGCATGATGTGGGTGTGGTTCACAACGATGTCACTGTGGCAAGAACAATTTCTGTTGAATTTCAGAAGCAATAGTTCCTGCAAGCAATATTTTCTGGAAATCACACCAGTCAGTTAAGATCCATCAAATTGCATTTGGATAAGATTATGGTATGCTGCAGTACAAAACAGCAACTGCCAAACTGGAACCATACATTTTGCCAGGATGTGTGCATAGATGCGTCAGTACCACAGGAACCAATCGTGATCGACCCCGTGCTCTGGGAACATGAGTGAGGTTGGCCCCATTCGACACATGTTTCCACAAGAACATACCCATTCGATGCCACTTCCACAGGGGGGAGTTATTGGATACAACAGTCCAATACGACGCTGTCGCCTACTGCATTCCAGGCATTGAATCATGGAAAACTCGCACTCTCAAACAGCAGAGGCTATGGGCTGGAAATGTTGCTTCATGTCTGTTCGAACAGCAGATATTGAGCAGGAGTGCAACCATAAACATTTGCTTGATGAGCAGTTCAATTGTCGACAAGGTATTCAACAGAAATAGCAGTTTCCCATTTCGCCTTTGCCGCTGTGGACAGACTGTCCAGAAACTGAAGGGAGTTCCAACTGCAGCAGGCATTAACTGTCTGCTGATTTGAGGCCCGAGTGCTCAAGTCGAGACAAATGAAGTAGACTTGGCTACCAAAGGCATTTGATATTCACAACCTGCGATTGAAAGACTGGCAACCTCCAGGGATGTGGATCTACAGCACTGGCCAATAGTAGGCTCAAAATTCCTAACCATGATTTGCCGACTGCCAGAAACCATGATGACGGCGAGGCAAGCTACGATCTTCGCATCAGAATCGATACCGAAGCCCCTTCCCCGCGGACGAGCCCCGCTTTGCTAACAACAATGTCGCCAAGATGCCCATCGGCCCTTCACGGCCTGTGTTTGCGATTCGCCATTTTCAGCACGACCCCTACTCTGGGGTCCAAGTCCTCAACCCGATTGCTAATGGCTCAGATAATACGAGCGCACAGATACCATGTGCCAGACTTGTGGTGTGCACGATCCGCCATTCATGCGACAGCTCGCTCCTGCCTGCTAAGGAATGGATCCATGTCGAACTGCACGGGCACGGTTCATTGGCATTGTTCTTCCATGTGTCCGCGCACCTGTGCCACCCCAAGCCTTGACACGCACAGATGCGGGCGAGGACGCCTTGTGAAGGTATGCAGATGGAGCAAAGGAATAACTCCCTGAACAGCTCCTATCGGTCCTGATCTGAGGGGGCGTGGAGCTTGTTAGGTTAGCTGTTTGTTTGGACCCCCGTTACACGTGTCCTGGGCACAGGACGAAACAACACCGTTGCGCCTCAGCTGGCACAGCACCATCTTCAAAAATTTTCCATTCAACATGCGAGCAGGATTCGAGCACGATGCCACACATTGATGGTTATGTGTATTGGATTGGTAGTCTGCGTACCCAAAGCCCAACGCCCAGCCCGTTGCATCACGTGACCAGCCTCAAAGAGCTCACAGGATCGGGACCATTGACATAGGGTCTAGGGTACCTACTGTGGCTGCGTTGGCGTTCAAATCAATGTTGGCACTACTGGAATCTTGTGGGTATCTTGTGGGTAGTGGATTGTGGGTAAGGCCGAGTTTGCACCTTGCGGAATAGGCTTCCTCGCCAATTTACACAGGTTTCGCTTTTACGCTGTTGCAGAGATGCATACCCAGTTCGCTTTTGGTGTCAGCAGCAAGAACGCTTCTGTTGAGATTTCAGTGTGTTGTGCTATACGGCATTCTGCTTTGACAACATCCTCAGAGATTGACAGTCTCTGGGGAGCTTCGGCGGTGCTTGAAACATTGTGTACCACACTGTATCATGGATGGTACATACTGTATCATGGATATACACGCATGCTTTGCATCAGAGCCAAAACGGGTCTCTCAACACCGCATTCTGGTCCATACTTCGCTGCTGTTCATTGCACTATCGCCCTGAGGCCCCGTCGGGCACCAGGGGAACTCTGGGGGAACTTACATATCCCCTGGACATTAGCTTCAAGCTAAATGGCTGCAAGGAATACAACCCTCTGTGCACGCAAATCAGAGCTTCATCCCTGCATCCCATATGCTAGAAACGCTATTCGGGTGTCAACTTAGTTCCATTGACTGGAGTCTGTCAGCTGAACATCAGCAATCCAAGCCCTTGCACACCGAAGGGAATGAAGACTGGCATCATCATGATCAGCATCATTTTTTACAGAACAAGGCAATGAGGGAACCGCCAGCTTCCTATTTTCCCCAAGCAAAGCAGTGTCTATAATAAATTCACTGAAATGGTGGTGTCACTTTGCTGAACAAAATTAAGACCTGCATGGGATCTTGTGTATCGTCTGCACTTGCCAGAGATACGCCAAGACACGACGACCCAACGCACGTCCACTGCGACAGGAGATGCACTGACCGATGCAGTGGCGGATGATTTCGACGTTGGCGTTTCGGAGATCTCGTTCAAGACATCTGTGTACAATCATGTGCACCACACCACACTGCAGGGCAAGGGCCGTGTTCTGCCACCATCCGACAGCAGTAAAAGTAGTACTCCAGCTATGGCTCTCCATGGCCTGGGACAAATATTGTCCTGATTATCGCCATTTATGACCTGGCTGTTGAACCACTGCTACATTTTGTTTCTGCCCATCGTTAGTTCCTCGAGGTCAAAAGAACACCATCTCTGACTTTGAGCGAATAATAAGACGGCTGTAAAGTGTCCCCACGAATGCCTGCATCAACACTAGGTCCTTCTGTCAGGGATTCCTGAGATTCTACAGCAGTCACCGAATACCAATCCCAATCCACGAACAATGCGACTGTTGAAGGCACTGCCCTGCAGCCCCCAGACATTGGAACAGAGTGAAAATATCGAAATCGCTTGTATTCTTCCCATACCTGCAGAGCAGTAGAGTCAAGTGAGCTCACACATGGAAAGGCGAAAATGGGCCCCTTGTCCTAATCTGTAGGAGCCCATCAATGTGAAGACTCTTCCCGTGCTCCACCCCCACGTGGTTTACACCTGGACCCAGGTGGAGCCATGGCGGCACTTACCAAGCCTTGGGGCAAACGCTTAAATGGGGCGTCATGCAGACAGCAAGCCTAACGTGGCCTTTTGCCTTCAAATGTTCATTGTGCATTGCTGGAGTTTCCAGCGGAGCCCGCTGCTTGCATGCTGCCAACATCCCCATTTGCAGTGGCCTGACTTCGTTCCAGTGCACTCTTCAGATTCACAATCATATTCAAAGACCTGTCGACCACTGATGTGACAGCATCCAGGTCCCTGGGAACCTCAAACGATATCAACCCCTGAATGCCATTGACTCTGCCCTGTGGCACAGCGCCCTGCTGTTTGACAACAGAATCACAATGCTACAGGGAGAAACTGCCAGATCTGCAGCAACCGTTGCAGTGTCTAGTGTGCATTGTCCCAACTGGAGGCAGCACTGCACCACGCTATCGTTTGTTGAGAGCTGTGGTGCCTTCCATCAACATGTTCTTGCTGTCATTGAAGTCTGCAAGCCCTTGACCACAGACAAGGCTTTCCTGATGGACAATGTCTGCTGCAACTAGTCGACTGCCGATCGAGCCAGGCTGGGCACCGGCAGATGCTTCTCACCGATCTTTGCAGAGCATCCTTCAAAACCATCCAGTTCCAGCATCACCACCCATGGCACCACCAGCATGACTTGAGGGTGAGATTCCATGCTGTTGGATGATGTCCTCACTAAGACCACAAGGGCATTTAAATGCGTCATCAAGATGCTTCTGTCAACTGCAAGGAGTCGACTAGCTGCTGGTTGTGCAGTATTCACGGCAGGCAGTTGGGAAGCCACAACCCCAAGAGCACCCAAAGCCTGTGCAGAGGCCAGCAATGATGGTTAAGCTAACCCAGCAGGGGGGTGGCTTCTTTGTGCTCAGAAGAAACGCACAAGTCACTGAGAACAAAGGGCACAGAACATATAGTTCCGGCGCAAAAGATTGACTGTCCTAGCTATGACTTACTGAATGGAAATTTCCTTGTTTGGCAGACAAGTACAATAACAGGGGCACTGACATCAAAAGAATCCAACTGCAGCACACACACCCCAGGCCAGGTGCTATTGACAAGAGATGGCAGCTGCTCACCTCCACAGGCTCTCCTGCACCGTGGCGAGCCAGAGAAATGCTCTCGGCTGCTGACTTGACATCTTCCACATCAGTGCTAAAACTGTGATATTCCCAATGCAAGAGGACAGAGACGTCCTCTGCCAACACGTGAAGCACCATATCCAGCATGGCCCAGATTCCTGTTGGCCTGTGCTCTGCTTGCCATATCTTCAGCGATCCTGTGCAATATTCTAGCTGCCCCTATAAGACTTCCACAACTTTTTCACCACACCAAGAAGATGGTCCATTATCTCTCAAAAGAAGCCATGGCATCTGCTGCATGGCCCAATTTCCAAGCACCTTTTATGCACCCCCAACAATATCTTACATATTCACCAACATATTGCCAAAGGCAGGCAGATCTATCAATACCTGCAGCCACATCCACAATAAAGTCAACTGCACA